ATTCACTGCTATTCAATGATAATACTCTTGATCTATTTTTAACCCCCCCCCCCCCCCCCCGCTACGTACAATATTGCCGTTCATTGATTTTTATTTGATGATTGAAATAAGTACACAACTATAGCAGAAATTAAAAGATTATTTTTGACAAACATAAATATCTATATATTTATTTCAAAAGAAGATTTTAAATTTATCAAAAATATTTGTAATAACATTAAGATATTCATGTATGTCAAATGTAGTCATTTTTGCGTTGTGATAGTATATTTTGCTAAATAAGCGCGGGACATTAAATCTCATAAATTCGTCAATCCGTCTGTCAAACAATCTTTAACCTTGGTCATAACTTTTGAATGAGAAAATATAAAGTTAAATTAGTGTCCTTTAACATGTGCATTACCACTGACAAAACTTCTACGGATGTTTTATGATTTTAGATCTCAAGACCTATTTAAACCTTGGTCGTAGCTTTTGCACCTGAAAAGACAGAGCTTTCATATTTCACATGTGCATTACCTATATGACAAGGCATTTTCGCATAATTATGTTTAAAAATATTAAAAAAAAATTATTACTCATGATAGACAGACAAGACAAGGCAGTTAAAATGCGCCCTATAGAACAGAACAGAACAGAACAGAACATTTATTTTCTAATTTAGAGCCCATAACAGACAAGTATGAAATTATTACAATAATAAAGAAAAGATATGCCAATGGATAGTATAACAACTTGTAAATGACATTACTCATTTCAACAATAATATTGTACTATTTCAGTTAAAGGGAATACTATATATAAAACTGTATGACTACTACAACATGTTATCATTTATGAATTTGCCCACAGAATTAAGAGTTTCTTTGTCTTCAGTATTGAGTAACCAAAAAAGTTTTTGTTCATCATCTAATGCCGAGAAATTGGGAAATTTACTTTTAATTGATTGAAAAAGAGCTAAATCCACGAAGGGGCTAAATCGGCCTATTTTTCAGGAAAATTAAACTGAGGGGAAGAAGAAAATTAACAATAGAAATATTATCCTTGGGTATCAAACTTAAATAGTTTATGCCAATTTTTTTTATTTGATGACGTCATATTTGTACAGAAAACGTCTAAACACGTGCACTTTGCTAGTTTTTATCAAAATAAAGTTTTTTTTTCGTCTTTGGTTCAAATTTTTGCTGTGGCCACACCCTTCGAACAAAATAAAATTTATATCATTGAAAAGAGGATTAAAACATGAATAAATAAAGTATATTTTTATTTTGTTCGAGGGGTGTGGCCACATCGAAATTAATACTTTTCGTTCGATTCAAATATCTTAGCCCCGACTCACACAGTGAAAATAGCGGGGATTACCCTACATTAATAGAAAAGAAAAATATTCTATATTGTTTTTGTAAATATTAAAAAGTTTCGAAATGCGATTGTTATATTTATTATAAGTTATTTTGTGCTGTGGTGCAAAAAAGTACGAAAAACTCTCGCTAAGCATGACTGCATGTAGATTCACTTATGTCGACATTTTGTGTACTACGTGCCTCAGTCCTGACCCAAGACTTTTCCTTCAAGCAGCTGATCTATATTTAACTAATCATGCTGAAATGTTTAAAAAAAAAATAATGTGTTCCTTTTTCCTCTGACAGCCTATTTATTTATGCTTTGAATTTGTTTTCCAACTCCCGGCTCTTCGTCACCATGGTCACTATGTAATCAAAGGGAGATCACCCGAGAAACATATAGGCTACATCTTTATTTTCTCCTGAGTGGCCGTGTCGGAATAGCCTAGAATATTAAACAAATTACATCGGATGCAACTACCAAGACGTATTTATAATGATTGTTTTGCCACCTTACAAAACATAAATGTCGTGAAGTCTGCATCGACAGCATACAAATGGTTAATGTTACGCAATAGAGTCTATTATAACTACATGTATTATAATTATAACCCATACCCATGATACCCAACATGCGTTTCAGAAATCGCCAGTGGCATTTTAAGACAAAAGATTAATTAATATTTATTAGTGAAAACCTATACTGATCCGAGACCTCTTAACATAAATTATGTTACGAAGTACTGAACCTGGAAAATTCGAGTTGACAAATCAAATAAACAATGGTTTGATTTTACAGATCGCGTGTAATTTTTGTGATAGGCCTCTATAAGAAAAATCTCCTACATTGTATAAACGAATAACTTACTACCAAGGCAGTGAGAACTCTTTAAGGTTTTAAGTAATTTCAGTATCGCATGCATGCTGTGACCTAGCCAACACATGAAAAAAAAATGTCAAAGGGAGGCTACTTGCTATCTCTTTCTATTTTGATTTACTCCGCTTAAATGTAACAGGCCCAAGGGAGAGAGGGCAACCAAGATTAGCAACATGTTTATACATGTAGTAGTGTAAATTCATAAAGGGGGGATTCGAGCATTGATATAAAATAAGAAGCGAAAAAAAAGGGGGGTTATTGGGGGAGGGGGGTTTCGGGATTCCCACCCTAACTCATTAAATACGTGGGACTGTTCGACCAATTACTGCTGCCATTTAAACAAGAAAGTAGTAAAGTGAATAAATAACAATGCCAATTATATTAGTCCTTGTACATGTATATATAGTATAAAAAATAAATTCAATAGCCGTTTTCATTTTTTTTTTTCAATCTCCTTGATAGAAAATTATATAAAAAACGATTGATTTTTCGTGACTCGTTCATTGCATAAATTTATTATAGATCCCAGGCCCGTAGGTAGCAATTTCAGTTGGGGGGAGGGGGAGGCACAGCCATACATTTTCAATTGGGGACACTATCAACTACCAAAATTCCTTAACAAGCAAAAAAAAAAAAAAAAAGGGGAGATCAGACGTTTTTATTGACGGGACACAAGCATTTAGTAGCTTTGTTTTATATAGTATTCTATATATCGGCAAAATTATTGGGGGGGGGGGGGGCACGGCCACCCCCCCCCCCCCGGTTCCTACGGCCATGTATCCTGAATGTATTATTATTATTAACGGATATAACTGCTACCGGTAATTTTGCCTGTCTATCATATTTGTTTTTTTTAAAGGATGTCTATATAGAATATAACTTTTGAACATGGTATTTGGGGGGGGGGGGGGTATGGTAATATGCCATTTACTACTGCCAGTAGCTGTTTTTCGTATATTTTTGTTTAATTACAAACAGTAACGATCCGAAAACGCCCAAGTTAAAAATCTCAAATGCAATATGTATACGATATTATGATTATTTTATCGTCTTTTGTGTTCATTATTGCCTATCTATTAGTACTTGTGTTAGAAATTGCACATGGAGGTTATTTTAAATATATGAAAATTATGAGTAAAATGTTAAAACTGAACTATATGCAAGTCCTAGATGTTGTAATTTTCACTTCTCACCAGATAATCATTACTTTATGATTTTGTTAAAAGGGTTTATAATAGGTACTCCCCAACATGGGAAGATATGATAATATGATAACAAAACGATTAGTTAGCAATAATTCATTCGATCGTTTTTATTATCTAAAATCTCTAAAAAAAAGTTTCTCTTTGATGATATAACATATTTATCATAATTAGTGAACTTTATTTCGATTAAGTAATTTACACTGAGTAAAGTGGTATATGCGCCATTTCCGCTTATCTTGTTTTTTTTTTTAACTTCAGGTTCCGTTTTGAAATTCAAATACTTTGGAAATCTTGTGTTTTCGTTGGAAAATAATTTTTTGCGGCCGATTTGATGCTTTGCATCACTCATGTTTAAAAGTCTGTAGTGGCTTCTTTCCTGACAATCTGTGGTGCGCAGGATTGTCGTCAAACGTCACTATTTTACGTGTATTACATGTATGAACTACAACTTCATTTCAAATGTCCGGGAAATGCCATAAATTTCGGAAGTGCAACGAAATTCTCAAAATGACAATAAAATAGATGGTAACTTCAAACGTATTCATTTTTAATGCAACTTTTCATTTTAATTTTATGTTTTCGTTATTAAAGAGTACTCGTGTATTTCCTTAAAAAACGTCTATTTTTTGTTTGTACGCCGTATGACCATACAATAACACATTTATGAATGATAAAATCCTTATCCATGGCTACTATGGTATATATTTTACTACATTAATTCAGTTTTACTCAAATATGATGGATTAACACTTTGTGTTTGTTTTCAGCTTAACGTGTCTCTTATTATCATTTAAAACGTGTTACATGTATCAACGATTATTCCAGACAACCGCTGTATATAACAAATATTTGGCATTTCTTTAGAGTACAAATAGCTTGAATTAAAAAATAAACCAAAAGTTTTCAGAACTTCTTGAAAAATTCAAAGTAAGATTTTACAAAATTTTGAAGAAGAGCCTATATTGGTTATTTTTATTCCATTAACGTACATATGTAACTGTCTATACAAAATGTCAACGTCACGACGTTAAAGTATGTAACGTCAACGTAATGACGCGATAATATTAATAAGGAAAACAATACGAAATTTAAACGAATGTAAAAAGAAAACCAGAAAAGATATTGTTAAAAAATAAATTGTTTTACAACATACACATCTTAGAGTTTTATGTGAGAAAGTTTCATTTATTTTGATGACTGGGCGGATTTAGCCCCTTCGTGGATTTAGCTCTTTCTTTTCTTTGATGATAATATTTTTTACATGTTATGAGAAAATGAGCATTGCACCTCATCCAAGTTCTTTGGCTTGTATTTTGCACAGTAAGCAAACCTTCTTATGATTAATTTCTTTCTTTCTCTCTCTCTCTCTCTCTCTCTCTCTTAGCATAGACCTGAAGCAAAAGGTCTATAGATGCTGTTTTAAAAAATATGTACACGTGTCCCCTTTACTTATCGGTTACATCACGACTACAATCTATGACCTCACTATGCACATGACGTCATAAAACGTCACAATATACCCCGTATACATAGTGACTGTGTATGGTTAAATTAGGGAGAAAATAAACTGCAATAATGCTGGAAGTAAAAAGCGAGGCTGTGGTAAGTAATGGTTTAATTGTCTAGCTGTGTATACTTGTATCATGCACGGAAGAATTAAGGGCAAATATGCTTACGTTTTCCCGAATAGTGATCCCAAGAATCGCTTGATTTCGGCCATTTTGGCAGTAGATCCACTAGGCCTACAGAATTGTACAAAAAATACTATGGTGGCAGATTTATGATTTTCTATCAGTAAGCCGTTTTATGATTGACCAGACTAATATATATACCCCCTTTATATATTAATATTTTTATTTATATATAGAGGGGATATGCAATCATATAACGGCTTATTGATAGAAATTCAGAGGCCTGTGAAAATACACACCTGAAAGTACTTTGTATTATATCTAATTTTATGAATCAGAGGATGTCGGATTTATGAGATTCATCCACTTTCGAACTTTGGCGGCGGTGGTGGAGGTCAGGCCTATCAAGTAATCCACTGCTGTTGTACTGGATTGAAATTCAGCTTCTGAGACCGACCACTCTTACATATCCCTCCCCTTACACAGTCAACTGCGGGGTGGGGTGGGGTGGGGGTATTAGTTTGAAAAAAAAATGTAAATGTTTTTCATTTGAACACACTAAGTCGTGAACACTAAAGGATTCAATTTGGTTGAATTTGCTCAATCCACTGACTTAGTTTTTTCAAATATAAACTTATCCCAAATCCCAATTCAAAGGGGTAATAATAAAGGAAGATAGTGAAATAAAGTGGGCTCATTTAAAGAACTACTGAACCATTACAGATAAAACATACATGTAGTGAATGCTTCCTTATTGAGTGCAGATAGTGATACTTCAAATTATGGTCCCTGGGGCTAGGATGGGACCACGGGGGGGGGGGCATTTTAACTCAAATTAGAAAAAAGACTTCTCCAGAGAGAAAGGATACAGTTGGTAGTATTAATGTACAGATGTATCCGTGTATTGATTGAAATTTTCGTTCATACGTGAGTCATGCCTATACAGGACTAGAATAAAGCCAAAACGGGTTCAAGTTTGATCTTGTAATACATAGAATCTATACTAAGAGTAAATTTTTAACTTCATTAAACCAATCCGAGATTTAAAAATATGTAATGGATTGGCAGTACTCAAATGAAACACAAAAAGAGGGCAAACTTGTCATTTAATTTTGAAGACCAATTTCGGACTGGAAAAATATCTAATTTTATTAAAATCTGAATACAGAACGGCAATTTGCAGATTACGCGGATCAGCAAACAGACTTTTCATAGAATTGGGCAGATATAATAACATACCTAGTAGAGGTGTAACGATACAGCAATACATCGATTGTATTGATCGCAAGGGCTCACGATACGCGTATCGTATCGCTATGTATGTATCGTGATACAGTACAAGATAATTTTCATTGTTTTGTTTGAAACTTCTACATACAACCTAACAAATTTTGATGTTTTAAAGATAGCAAAGAAAAAATACAATGACAAGACTATAAATCCACCTTTTATTAACTTTGGTCAGGGGTATCAAGATATTCTTTTTATATTTTCTATAACAGAAACTGTGGAGGTTAGCAAAGAATAACATGTTAATTATGGTAACGGATAATTCAATTGTTGACAGCTGTATCGGGATACATGTTGTATCGCATGACCATATCGTGATATGAATTGTATCGTTAGGTAGCTTACGATACTCCGGCCTAATACCTAGAATAGAAAGACTATGTAAAAATTGTATGCATAATCAAATTGAAGATGAAGAACATTCCCTTATTCATTGTGACAAATTAATAAAGGAAAGAGAGGAACAATTTAACACAATTTAATCTAAAAGTAAAACATTTTACAAATTTGCACGATAACAAAAATTGTTCTGGATATTAAATTGTGAAGAATTAAATATATTAAACTCCCTTTGTAGATTTCTACAAAAGGCATTGCCATAAATATATCGTAACTTGTATCATGAATTATGTAGAAGTATGTACTTTCATATGTGTGTGATATTATAAGTATGTATGCATGTAGATAATGCATATATAAAGAAAAAAATAATTTTGCTCAGAACTTATGTAAATATACAATATATATACTATCTTCTTCACCCCCCCCTTTTTTGTGTCTGCTTTTCCATTCAACCATGCAAATCTTTCTCTCTAGTGTATATGTATATTGTTTTACACGTATATGACTATATATGAGTATTAACGATGTACTTTCTTTTTGCCCCTTGAGGGCCCTTAATTGATCAATAAACGAATTGAATTAAATTGAATATATTAGAAAAAAATATTTTAGAGAAATCTTTAAAACTATGCTTTTCAGAACAGAGATGTTATTATTAAATCGTATTAATAATACATGTATTATTCCCAAATTTCTTCAAGTCATATACCCTGGGGTAAGTAAGGGCCACAAAAGGGGGTTTAATTTTACATAAGGATATATTAGAAATAAAAACAAGAGGCCCAGGGGCCACATCGCTCACCTGAGCACTATGGCTAGGAAAAAGCAGAAATCACTTCAATCTTGAAAGGTTGAAAAGTTTAAATATAAAAGTGGTTGGGGGGGGGGGGGTGTCATGAATTGAACAAATTTGAATCTACATTATCTGAGGATGCTTCCATTTAAATATGACCAATCATGACTTTGCTGTTCTTGAGTAGAAGATTTTTAAAGATTTAACCTATGTATCCCTATGTAAAACTTTGATCACCCATTGTGGCCCCACCCGACCCTCAGGGATCATGTTTGAACAAACTTGAATGTACACTATCTAAGAATGCTTCCATATAAATATGACCAATCATGGCTTTGCTATTCTTAACAAATACCTTTTAAAAAGATTTTTACTATGTGTTCCAATGTAAAACTTTGATCGCCCATTGTGGCCCCACCCGACCCCGGGGGTCAAGATTCGAACAAATTTGTATGTACACTATCTGAGGATGCTACCATATAAATATGACCAATCATGGCTTTGCTATTCTTAACAAATAGTTTTTTTAAAAGATTTTTACTATGTGTTCCTATGTAAAACTTTGATCGCCCATTGTGGCCCCACCCGACCCCCGGGGGTCATGATTTGAAAAAAATTTGAATGTACACTATCTGAGGATGCTTCCTTGTAAATATGACCAATCATGGCTTTGCTGTTCTTGAGAAGAAGATTTTTAAAGATTTTTCCTATATATTTCTATGTAAAACTTTGATCGCCCATTGTGGCCCCACCCGACCCCCGGGGGTCATGATTTGAACAAATTTAAATCTACACTACCTGAGGATGCTTCCATGTAAATATGACCAATTATGGCTTTGCTGTTCTTGAGAAGAAGATTTTTAAAGATTTTTCCTATATATTCCTATGTAAAATTTTGATCGCCCATTGTGGCCCCACCCGACCCCCGGGGGTCATGATTTGAACAAATTTAAATCTACACTACCTGAGGATGCTTCCATGTAAATATGACCAATTATGGCTTTGCTGTTCTTGAGAAGAAGATTTTTAAAGATTTTTCCTATATATTCCTATGTAAAATTTTGATCGCCCATTGTGGCCCCACCCTACCCCCGGGGGTCATGATTTGAACAAACTTGAATCTACACTACCTCAGGATGCTTCCAAGTAAATATGACCAATCATGGCTTTGCTGTTCTTGAAAAGAAGATTTTTGAAGATTTTTCCTATATATTCCTATGTAAAACTTTGATCGCCCATTGTGACCCCACCCGACCCCCGGGGGTCATGATTTGAAGAAACTTGAATCTACACTATCTGAGGATGCTACCATATAAATATGACCAATTATGGCTTTGCTGTTCTTGAGAAGAAGATTTTTAAAGATATTTCCTATGTAAAACTTTGATCGCCCATTGCGGCCCCATCCTAGCCCCGGGGGTCATGATTTGAACAAATTTATATCTACACTACCTGAGGATGCTTCCACATAAGTTTCATGTTTTCAAGCACAGTGGTTCTTGAGAAGAAGATTTTTTAATTATGCCATTAATTTTTCACGAATTCTTAATTATCTCCCCTTGGAAGAAGGCGTGGCCCTTCATTTGAACAAACTTGAATCCCTCTTACCCAAGGATACTTTGTGGCAAGTTTGGTTGAAATTGGCCCAGTGGTTCTTGAGAAGAAGTCGAAAATGTGAAAAGTTTACAGACGGACAGATAGACGGACAGACGGACGACGGACAAAATGTGATCAGAAAAGCTCACTTGAGCCTTCGGCTCAGTGAGCTAAAAATTCATAATTTTTGGGTCAGACTGCTTTTCCAAACCCCCTCAGCGTTGCAGGATTTTTTTTTAAATTCTATTAATAAATTTTCTATTTATAGCAGTCTCGTTTTTGTCCCAGAGGCAATGACTTTATCAATAAAACTTGAAATTACACATCATCATAATGGTTGTAAATCAAATGCATAACTCACTGTAGCCATATTCATCTTTAATAAGAAGGTTTTTAGCTCACCTGATCCGAAGGCTCAAGTGAGCTTTTCTGATCACATTTTGTCTGTAGTCCGTCTGTCCGTCCGTCCGTCTATCTAGCTGTCCGTCCGTCTGTAAACTTTTCACATTTTCGACTTCTTCTCCAGAACCACTGAGCCAATTTCAACCAAACTTGCCACAAAGCATTATTGGGTAAAGGGGATTCAAGTTTGTTCAAATGAAGGGCCACGTCCTCTTTCAAGGGGAGATAATTAAGAATTAGTCAAAATTTGGTGGTATCTTTTAAAAATCTTCTTCTCAAGAAGCACTGGGCTGTATAAGTTGAAACTAATGTGAGACCTTCATTACATAGTGTAGATTCAATTTTGTTCAAATCATGACCCCCTGGGGTAGGGTGGGGCCACAATGGGGGATCAAAGTTTTACATAGGAATATATAGGAACAAATCTTTAAAAATTTTCTCCTCAAGAACAACAAAGCCACAATTAGTCATATTGATATGGAATCATCCTCAGGTAGTGTAGATTCAAGTTTGTTCAAATCATGACCCCCGGGGTTAGGGTGGGGCCACAATGGGGGATCAAAGTTTTACATAGGAATATATAGGAAAAATCTTTAAAAATCTTCTTCTCAAAAACAAAAAAATCCACAATTAGTCATATTGGTGTGGAATCATGCTCAGGTAGTGTAGATTCAAATTTATTCAAATCATGACCCCTGGGGGTAAGGTGTGGCCAAAATGGGGGATCAAATTTTTACAAAGGAAGATATATAGGAAAAATCTTTAAAAATCTTCTTCTCAAGAACAAAAACACCACAATTAGTCATATTGATATGGAATCACTGTCAGGTAGTGTAGATTCAAATTTGTAAAAATCATGACCCCCGGGGGTAGGGTGGGGCCACAATGGGGGATCAAAGTTTTACATAGGAATATGTAGAGAAAATCTTTAAAAATCTTCTTCTCAAGAACAACAAAGCCACAAGTAGTCATATTGATATGGAATCATCCTCAGGTAGTGCAGATTCAAGTTTGTTCAAATCATGACCCCCGAGGGTAGGGTGGGGCCACAATGGGGGATCAAAATTTTACGTAGGAATTTATAGAAAAAAATTTTAAAATCTTTTTCTCAAGACCAACAGAGCCACAATTAGTCATATTGATATAGAATCATCCTCAGGTAGTGTAGATTCAAGTTGGTACAAATCATGACCCCCTGGGGTAGGGTGGGGCCACAATGGGGGATCAAAGTTTTACATAGAAATATATAGAAAAAATCTTGAAAAATCTTTTTCTCAAGAACAACAAAGCCACAATTAGTCATATTGATATGGAATCATCCTCACGTAGTGTAGATTCAAGTTTGTACAAATCATGACCCCCAGGGGTAGGGTGGGGCCACAATCGGCGATCAAAGTTTTACTTAGGAATTTACGTGAAAAAAACTTGAAAAATCATCTTCTCAAGAACAACAAAACCTTGTTCAGTCATATTGATATGGAAGCATCCTCAGGTAGTGTAGATTTAAGTTTGTTTAAATCATGACCCCTGGGGGTAGGGTGGGGCCACAATGGGGGATCATAGTTTTACATAGGAATATATAGGAAAAAACTTTAAAAATCTTCTTTTCAAGAACAGCAAAGTCATGTTTTGTCATATTGATATGGAAGCATCCTCAGGTAGTGTAGATTCAAGTTTGTTTAAATCATGACCCCTGAGGGTAGGGTGGGGCCACAATGGGCGATCATAGTTTTACATAGGAATATATAGGAAAAAAAACTTGAAAAATCTTCTTCTCAAGAACAGCAAAGCCATTTTTTGTCATATTGATATGAAAGCATCTTCATTTAGTGTAGATTCAAGTTTGTTCAAATCATAACCCCCAGGGGTAGGGTGGGGCCACAATGTGGGATCAAATTTTTACATAGGAATATATAGGTAAAAACAACAGAAAAGCCATGTCTAGTCATATTGATATGGAAGCATCCTCAGGTAGTGTAGATTTAAGTTTGTTCAAATGATGGTGATGGGGGGGGGGGGGAGGGAGGGTCCACAATGGGGGATCAAATTTTAAACAAGAGAATATATAGGAAAACAAATCTTTAAAAATGTGCTCAGGTGAGTGATGTGGCCCATGGGCCTCTTGTTTGTTAATCAAATACTATTTACGCAGTATGACTAATTTCTTTCTTTAGGAGGTGTTACAAGATATCTTTGATCAAATCAAAAATTTGCAACGTCATATTTCAAAACCTAGCACAGTGAAACCTGTTTAATCCGACATACATACTGAATAGACGAAGTCAGATTTCAGTGTAAAAAAAAGAAAGAAAGTATAAAGTATAGAAATAAAAATAAAGGCCATATAGAATTCACTGTGACAGTAGAAGGGCTTGCACAGGGATCAGAGTAGACAGGTTTTACTCTATGTACAGTCGAAACTCATTCTCAGGATGCTTGTGAAATCCTCAAGCAAATTTGTACTGATCAATGGGGCGTCCAGATTACTGAACGTACCTTTTATAATTGGAAGATTTAATTAAAAATGCTGTTTTCCCAATTTTGTCTGGAAGATGAATTATCTGGATTATTGTTATCCGGATCACTAAGACTCGACTGAATTAAAAATCATATTGTTGTAGTTTTTGGTATTCACATTCAAAAGAAAATAAACATTATATATGTATAATGTAATTTATATTGCTCAGAAATTAAAATTTTTGTATAATTATTTCTCATGAGAGGCATATGTTAAGATATTTCATTTCAATCTCATTTAGGTGAAAAGAGAGGCCAGAGCTCGCAGCTATGAGCAGCAAATGTTCGACTGGGCAAAGGTTGGTAAAAATCCATTAAATAAATTAATATTTGTTACTTCATCAGTTCAAACTATGTTTAAATTTATAAAGTAATCAAATACTCTTCATATAGAAACTTTGTCTTTTATCTCTTGTCTTTTTTAGGACCTATTGTGGAGAATATTTGCTCAGGAAAAAAAGAAATTCCCCAAGGAAACTGCCGAAGCTATTTCACAGAAAGTGTACGAAATAGTATTGGTAAGTATAAACAAAGGTATTAAGATAATTTATGATTTTTTTCTAAAATAAGATTTATTGTTATGATTTATTCTCCATTATTTTCTCAAAAGAATGGACCAGAGCCATGGATAATAGAAGCGAGACAAATTCAAGTAAAGGCTGTAGTAAGTAAAAATATATTCATATCAATATTTGAAAATTAACTATTTATCCATCTTAGTTAAATAAAAATGAGTCAGCAACTCTACACACATGCATGCACTGTCCATTCATTCATTATTTCTTAATTATATGTAAAATATGAACATTAACCAGTCTGTTAACATTTAAAGCTAATTCAATTTTAAAATTCAGGACCAGTATTTAAGTTTTTTTCTTATTGAAATCTGAATTATGAGTATGTACTCAATAGGGAAATATTTATAACAATTTCTAAATAAATTTGCTTCGAAAACATAAAAATGCTAATAATTCAAAAGAGGGCTTTATCTATTTACATGGGTAAATATTGAAAAAAAATGTTAAAGTCACTTTCTACTTTGGATTTCAGTATAGGAGTAAAATACTTTGTGGTGTCATTGACCAATAAATTCATGTTAAGGATTAAAAAATTTAAAGAGCATTTAAAAATCAATAGAGCAGAAAAATTACCATATGAAACATTATAAAATTGTTCACAATACCGGTATTTTAAATGCAAATTCAGTTACTCAGAATATAGTGCCAACATATAAAATAGATGGTTTTTAGTAGGCCTAAATTAGCAAGAGTTATTTCCCGTTGGTCGCCATATTGGATGTCAACATGCCCTTATTTCTTCATTGTTCAACCAACTTTAACTTTTAATATTGGCCATTTTGAGATAAGAAGCATTGTTTTCCTGAAAAAAAAAATACGTTTGTTAAAGCCTCCTTTATTTCATAGTTTTTATTCTATAAAGATTTTTCCCCAAATATTTCTGCTACATCCTCTTAAATTTGGTAGGACAAAGAGGAAAAATTACCAGGTTGACCACAAAGACGGCGGCCAAGGGAAATGACTCGGAGAGATAAATATGTCATATGAAAACTATCTATATACACCAACAGAAACCTAAATATATCATAATTATGTTAAAGAAGAAGCCTTTTTGAAACCAGAAGTTTTTATTGCAATTTTTGCGAGGAGACAGGCTTAGAGTTTTCATTTAAAAGAGAAGAAAATTCTTTTTATCCTGTATGGATATCATTTTATATATGTACAGGTACATTTATTTTTCCTTCCACTAGCTATCCAACTCACTCAATATACAAGTAAATGTTACCACTTTGTTTAAGTTTTAGCATTAAAATATGATTAATTTTTCTGATACATCCCTAAATTAACTCTTTTGGCTAGATACTGCTTGAAAATGTCAAGCGTAAATTCAAGGAAGAGCTGATTAAAAGAGGTGAATTAAGACGCTTCATTATAAACCTAATGAAGGTAACTATGCAAATTTTATCACTCTGGGAAAAAAAATCATTTTGAAAAGAAAGCTAGCAATTGTACCAAATACATACTGTATAAAACATTATTTATAAGTCTTTGAGATAACAAACATTTTCTTAAAAGGCAATTTTGTAAAACGTTAACTTAAGATATTGGGATTATTATTTTCAATTTAAAAAGGAAATTTTATTATTATTTTTTTTTTATTTTGGCAGATGGAAGAAGGCGTCTATGAGAAAAAAAAAGTAAGTTACTGAGTATCTTTTTTAAGTTCACCTTTTTTAAGATAAAAATAAAGTGATTAAAAGTAACACCCCAAACACAAAGAAAAATATTTTCCATTTTATACTAATTCCTCAACACATGGAATTGAAGAACCATGCCAAGAGCAGAAAAAAGTTCTTTATGATTTGATGATTTTAGGTTTTTCAAATTCATGGCCAGTGGGGGAGGGGGGAGGGTCATATATTAGCAAAAATATTAAGTTCTTAAAATAGCAAGACTGTTATTAGACATTATTCAGTCATATCTATGTGTAACATCTTCATGCACTGTATATTTCAATTTATATAGAGATTTCTTGAAATTTATTTCAAATAAGATATTTCAAAATATACAAATTAAATACCGGTATGATTTGCTGATCTAGTATTTAATATCTTAATTTTTTTTCAATTCTGTCAGGAAAAGGCTGCAATTGTACTACAGAAAACTTGGAGAGCTTACAGCATAAAATGTTTTTTTTTTTTTTTTTTTTTTTTTTTTTTTTTTTTTTTATTAAATGATATATTTATTTTCAATAACATACAACAAAATATTGAGGCAAAACTTCCGCAGAAGCCCTCTGTATATACCTCACCTGGGGTGCCAGGAGCTCCCTGGATCGGTATTTTTATTATAATATTTAATTTACAAAATAATATACATTAAATGAGAAAAAAAAATTACATGTACGTATACATATCATTGCTGACATTTCATTTCTATACATATGCTTATATATCATTGTATAATATTTCTTATAAATAAAATAAGTATCATAGATGAAATATCTTAATTTATATACTTCTCAAAATACATACACAAAGAAAATCATATTTGGTCAGCTAACTTTTTTAAAAGGTGGTAATTTAATTGAACACTTTTTGCATCCTTTGCAACTAAATAATACTGATATAATGATGATTTCAAAAAAGATAACATTGCATGTGCATTTACATTTTCATTTTGTAATCTACATTTCATTTTATACTTGTATATTTTGTAACCTACAATTGATATGACATTATTAAAAATTTTTGTTGTTTCGTTAAACTCATTAAAAAATCCTACAACAATATTTTTCCAGGATATATTTAATTTCAATATTTTTGATATTTTTTCCCATAATCTTTTTGAATCCGAACATTCTATACAGCATAAAATGTTGGTACAAAAGGATACAGTCAAGCACTACTGTGATTCAAAGAGCATGGTGTGCACGAAAACTGAGGAAAGATTTTCTAAGGAAACAAAAAGCAGTAGTACTTCTACAACAGAAATATAGAGCCCATCAATTAGCCAGACGACACAGAACAGCATTTATTCAGATGAAATCATCATCCATTGTTATACAGCGGACCTGGAAGAAGCACAGCAAACAAGCAAAGCGAAGAAAACTATTAATTGTACTACAGAAAACTTTGAGAGTTTACAAAGGGAAATGTCGGTACAAAAGGATACAGTTAAGCTCTACTGTGATCAAAGGCCATGGCGCACACGGAAACAGAGGAAGGATTATCTAAGGAAACAAAAAGCAGTAGTATTTCTTGAACAGAAATACAAAGCCCATCAACTGGCTAGAAGGCATAGAACCACATTTATTCAGATGAAATCCTCCTCCATTGTTATGCAGCAGGCTTTAAAAAAGCAAATGGAAAAGCGCAATCAGGCAGCAATCATTCTTCAGTCGTACTGGAGATGTTTTAAGGCTAATCAGCGAGATTACAATCAAAAGAGGCAAGCAATTGTAAAACTGCAGGCATTATTTCGCATGAAAATCCAGAGAGATTTTTTTCTGGTCAAAAAGATGGCTGCCTGTAAAATTCAAAAGTGGTTCAGAAATGAATTACAAAGAGACAGGGTTAAAACAGAATACCAGAGAAAGAGACACTCGATAGTAGTTCTTCAAAGTGCTGCAAGAGGTTGGATGGCTAGAAAACAAGAAAAACAAAGAAAATTCCTAATTATCCGAATCCAGTCTGTGGCCAGAAAAATAATAAATGAGCGGAAGTTCCAGATTTGGAGGAAATATACTGTGCTTTGTCAAAGGCGCTTTCGAGCTAAGTTGCATGGCAGATTGATCCGTCGTCAGTATTTGACCCTCACTGCAGCAGCTGTGACAATACAGTCATGTTACAGAGGACTTCAGACTAGAAGGCTGATGTTGCTTGAACAAGAAAGTGCCAGGAGAATTCAGTCATGGTACAAAGGCAGAAAACAATACATATTGTGCACAGAACTAAGGCAATCAGTCCTTGTTTGTCAGAAAACTTACAGATCTAGTAAGTTATCACAGTCAGATCGAAGGAATTTCTTGGTCCTTAAAGGAGCTGTTCTTGCTATACAGGCATTTTATAAAGGTTACAAGACAAGATGCATGTACCAAAGAATGGAGCAGGCCATAGTGTTGCTCCAGGCTGGTTCTAGAGGTATGCTAGAGAGAAGAAGGATCAAAGGACTTGTCAAGGTTAGATCAAGTAAAAATATTAGGATTGATAATCAAAATGTCAATTGAATAAAAGCAACATTAAAAGAAAAATGCTTTAATGAAATATGTAGACAAAAAGAAGAAATCTAATTTCTTAATTTTAATATGAATGAATCAAAATCAGGCTTGTTCAAATTGTAGTCTGGGGCCACAATAGGATGTTAATGTTTCTTATTGGAATATTAAGTTAAAATTCTGATTCTATAAGAAAAAAAAATAGCAAGGCAATAATTAGTCATATTGATGTGCAAGCATCTTCAACTTTAACCGTACATTTAATTTTGTAGTCATAATAAGGCAGATTTTCGAAACGGGTGCAAATTAAGTTTAATTAGTGATATGTTCAGTAAAATATGTTTTAAATACTGAGTATACGTAATTATTTTTGTCAGGAAAAGGCTGCAATTGTACTACAGAAAACATGGAGAACTTACAAAGTGAAATGTTGGTACAAAAGGATACAGTCAAGCAACACTGTGATTCAAAGAGCATGGCGTGCACGAAAACTGAGGAAAGATTTTCTAAGGAAACAAACAGAAGCAGTATCTCAACAACAAAAATACAAAGCTCATCAACTGGCCAGAAGGCATAGATCCACATTTATTCAGGTGATATCGTCAAATGAGAAACAGCAAGCTCGGGATAAACAGATGGAAAAACACATTCAGGCAGCAGCCACTCTTCAGTCTTACTGGAGGTGTTTTAAGTCTGATCAGCGAGACTACAATCAAAAGAGGCAAGCAATTGTAAAACTGCAGGCATTCTTTCGCATGAAAATCCAGAGAGATTTATTTTTGGTCAAAAAGATGGCTGTCTGTAAAATACAGAAGTTTTTCAGAAATAAAATACAAAGAGACAGGGCTAAAAGAGAATACCAGAGAAAGAGACGATCAGTAATAGTTCTACAAAGTGCTGCCAGAGGTTGGATGGCTAGAAAACAAGCAAAACAAAGAAAAATCATAATTATCCAAACCCAGGCTGCGGCCAGAAAGTCATTAACTGATCGCAAGTTTCACACTTTAAGGAAAGTGTCAGAATTTTGTAAAGAAATCCAGCAAGCCAAATTGCATGGAAGGTTGATCCATCAACAGTGTTTGGCGCTCCATAAAGCAGCTGTGATAATGCAGTCATGCTTTACAGGACAGCAGTCTAGTAGGTTGATGTTGCTTGAACAAGAAAGTGCCAGGAGAATTCAGTCATGGTACAAAGGCAGAAAACAATACATATTGTACAGAGAACTAAGGCAATCAATCCTTGTTTGTCAGAGAACTTACAGAGCTAGTAAGTTAGCACAGTCAGATCGAAGGAATTTCTTGGTCCTTAAAGGAGCTGTTCTTACTATACAGGCATTTTATAAAGGTTACAAGACAAGATGCATGTACCAAAGAATGGAGCAGGCCATAGTGTTGCTCCAGGCTAGTTCTAGAGGTTTTCTAGATAGAAAAAGGATGAAAGAACTTCATGAAGCTGCGGCCTTTATACAACAGGCTTTTAAAAACCACTGGAACATCAAACTTGTCAAGGCTAGATCAAGTAAAAAATATTTTGTTTGTCAATCATCAAAATGAATAAAATTAAGGTAATAGTTTAAAGAAAATTGCTTTAGTAAAATACATAGTCATTTGTTAATTTGCTTAGATGATTAAAATTGGGTTGCTTTTATAAGAATTAGTTTTTCAAAACAATGAATCAACTAATTGGTTGGTACAAGATGTAATTGTAACAGAGAAATGTCTGTGCCTTGGAATGGATTTAAACCCAGGACCTCTGACATGCCAGTTCAGTGCCTTACTAGATAAGGAGTTCACCTTTTACTTTGATCGGTAGAGCACGGGACTGATATGCCCAATGGTCCCATGTTCAAATCCATTCCAAGGCAGAAACATGTCTCTGTTACATAATTAACTGGTAAGCAATCTTGCATTAGATTACCTTATCTTAATTATAAAAGCGTTTTTCTTTTATTGTATTAGGAGAAAGAAAGACAAGACTTCTTTTTACAATTTGCCAAGCAAGTAAAGATTCACTTGTCAGCAACAGTCCTACAGAGATGCTACAGGACATATAAAGCACAGGCCAATAAACAACTTCACAGTGCACTCATAATACAGGTAGAGTGTACATGTTCTTTGTTTTAAAATTGGGTGAACAAATTTCTTTCTCAAATATCATATGTTAGATGATAAAATATTAATTGTTGAAATAAAGTTGCGGTCTTGCTAAAATACAGTACTGTTGAAGTTTGGTATCTCGAACATCAATATCTCGAATATCATGCGTATGAAGTAAGGTAGAGGTCACAACAATCTTTTCTTTACGCATTTTAACCTCAATATTTTGATTTGTTTGAAATCTCCATTTTTGGCCCACCGAGTGCAAGATAATGAGGTTTACAGTAGGTAAATATGTGCTGTGTGTCAGATAAATTGTTACAAATAATGAGTTTAAACATTGATTGATTGCAGAACTTGGTGAGAGGGAGATTGTGTCGAATTAGGTTCTTGAAGCTCAAGAAGTCGGTTCTTGTGATTGAAACAGCAGCATTAAAGTGGAAACACACCTGCCTTCAAAAAGAAAAACAAGCAGCTACCCTAATGCAGGATACACATTTAACAATGGTAATTCTTTTTCAAATATTAAAGCCTTATATCAAAATGCAGGTGCCCAATGATAATCAACTGTCCCTTTGTCCATTCACCACTACTTTATGTGATAGGGAAAAGTCAGGGTTAAAAGGAGGGGTTCATATGAGTCACCATGTCCCTCTGTCTATCTGGCCTACTTGTACAATCGTGTTGAGACAATGACTTTGTAATGGAGAAACACTGGAAGCTCATTCTTGGTGAAAGATTGTTTATGACCTTGGTCAAAACCTCGATCAGTAGAGCACTAAACTGGCATGCCAGAGGCCCCATGTTCAAATCCATTCCCAGGCAGAAACATGTCTGTTACATAATTAACTGGTATGTGTATTTGCATTAGATTGTCTTACCTAATTTATAAAAGCATTATTTTCTTTTGTTGTATTAGGAAGAAGAAAGACAAGAACAATTACTACAATTTGCCAAGCAAGTAAAGATTCACTTGTCAGCAACAGTCTTACAGAGATGCTACAGAAAATATAAAGCACATGCAAGGAAACAACTACACAGTGCTCTCATAATACAGGTGGAGTTTACATGTTCTTTGTTTTAAAATTGTGTGAACAAATTCCTTTCTCAAATAGGTTAGGTGATGAAATGTTAATTGTTGAAATAAGGTTGTAGTCTTGATAGAATACAGTACTCAAACATTAGTATCTCAAATATCATGCGTATGAAGTAAGGTAGAGGTCACAACAATCTTTTCTTTATGTACTTTAACATCAATATCTTGAATCCATGGATATCTCCATTTTTTAATTGGCCCAATGAGTGCGAGATAATGAGGTTTACAGGAGGTAAATATGAGCTGTGTGTCAGACAGATGGTTACAAAGAATGAGTTTAAACATTGATTGATTGCAGAACTGGGTGAGAGGGAGATTGTGTCGCATTAAGTTCTTGAAGCTCAAGAAGTCGGTTCTTGTGATTGAAACAGCAACATTAAAGTGGAAGCACGTCCGCCTTGAAAAAGAAAAACAAGCAGCCATCATAATGCAGGATACAAATTTGACAATGGTAATTCTTTTAAAGTATTAAGGCCTTACATCAAAATGCAGGTGCCCAATAATAATTACCTGTCCATCTGTCCATTTAACAAACTTTTATGTGATGGGGGAAAAGTCAGGGTTAATAGGATGGGTACATAGGCCTTGTCCCTCTTTCTGCGGGGCCTACTTGTACAATCGTGTTCGAACCATGACTTTGTAATGGAGAAACATTGGAAGCTCATTCTTGATGAAGGATTGTTTATGACCTGGGGGGTTGGGGTTGGGGGTTGCTGTGGTTGTTTGACTGTTTATGACCTGAGAGTGTGTCAAGACCCTGACATCATTTGTACAAGTTCAAGGTAACTGGCAGAAAAACGTGTAATTCCTATCCTGGCCATATCTTGTAATAAAGAAACGTTGGGAGGTCGTAGAAAAAATGTTGCCAATCATCTTAAAGTGTGATTTCATTTTCACTTTTTTGGTAAATTCAAGGTAAATTGCAGAAAAGTGTCAAATTTATGTTTCGCAGAAAAACCTTGCAAAAACTTTTTGATTGCTTATAACCTGAGCATGTGTTTTGATCCCACAGTCATTTAGGCAAGTTCAGAAAAATGTATAATTTCCTTCCATACTGAATGAGGAAGAAACATGTAAAGCTCGTAATAGACAAAAGGATTGCTCATGGCCTCTATACATGTAGGTATCTTTGGGGGGTATCATTTTGTGAGCTTCGATCCTCAGAGTAATTCTTAGTCTCTCTTTTCCCAGACTTTTGCTCTAATTATGAGACTTTTCTTTGTGCAAAGTATTGAGAGTGAAAATCTGGAAAAAGCGAGACTAATTACATGTAATTTTGGCTGATGTCACCATTCAATTGATATAACATTTTTTTTGGTGAAAAATGGACTACAGCATGAGTATAATATTGTCATGCTTGTGGTTAATCAGGCATAAACTGTCTTATGCACCCAGAATATTTTAATTTTGTGATCTCCTTTCAAGCAATATCAACCAAACTTGGTGTAATTTGTGTGTCAGATGGGGATTTTAGTATTTTAAAAAAATGGCCCTGCAGGCATTATTCTGTCATTATTCTGTGTATCTGAAGAAAACCTATGGTTATTTTTAACATTTTTTGTTACATTTTTTTTTATTTTAGGTGGAAGAGAAGGTAAAGGAGGAGGAAGAAAAGAAAAAGTGTAAAAAATTAGGGGTATGTGTCAGAACATAAACTCTATTATTGTAAAGCTCTAAATGTGTTAGAACATAAACTCTATTATTGTAAAGCTCTATATGTGTTAGAACATAAACTCTATTATTGTAAAGCTCTAAATGTGTTAGAACATAAACTCTATTAAATTGTAAAGCTGTAAATGTGTTAGAACATAAACTCTATTATTGTAAAACTCTAAAGGTGTTAGAACATAAACTCTATTATTGTAAAGCTGTAAATGTGTTAGAACATAAACTCTATTATTGTAAAACTCTAAATGTGTTAGAACATAAACTCTATTATTGTAAAGCTCTAATTGTGTCAGAACATAAACTCTATTATTGTAAAGCTCTAAATGTGTCAGAACATAAACTTTATTATTGTAAAGCTCTAAATGTGTCAGAACATAAACTCTATTATTGTAAAGCTGTAAATGTGTTAGAACATAAACTCTATTATTGTAAAACTCTAAATGTGTTAGAACATAAACTCTATTATTGTAAAACTCTAAATGTGTTAGAACATAAACTCTATTAAATTGTAAAGCTGTAAATGTGTTAGAACATAAACTCTATTATTGTAAAACTCTAAATGTGTTAGAACATAAACTCTATTATTGTAAAGCTGTAAATGTGTTAGAACATAAACTCTATTATTGTAAAACTCTAAATGTGTTAGAACATAAACTCTATTATTGTAAAGCTCTAAATGATATAGAGTGTTAACATATTTACGTCTGATTTTGGTAAACCTTGTTGACATTTTATCCCAAATCTTGAAGAAACCATTAAAAATCATCGGAAACTTGAGAGATTGTTGTATTTAGCAGTTTTTGCACACAAACAAAATCCAGTACAAATATAGAGAACTGTTGTTATTGTCGTTGTCAAATATTAAAGATACAACTTTACAAACTTTGTCCCAGAATTTCCAAAGAATTTGATGTTCATAGGAACTAATTTCCATTTAGTATTTCTGAATAAAAGGATAGTCTTTTGATCTAACAAGGAATAATAAATGTCTGTCTTAGAATGATAAATACCATAGATAATTTAGTATCTTTGTTAAAATCTGGATTTGAGTTCTTGCATGCCAGGCAACTATCCTTGAGATCATAGCTAATCCAATTTTGATGTAACCAGTAAAACTAAATTACTAAAGAGCATCATTCTGTGCATCTGCATATTGTATCATCTTTCTACATTTCAGAGAATGAAAAGATTAAGAAGATGGTTCAGAAAAACCTTTAGTTGTGTAGGAGGAAAATCCACGATACATGAAGTAAGTTAGTTTTATTTTTTTCTGTGGCTTTCTCAGTCACATCCCGGGCATTTCTTTACTTTTTATCTGTTCTCGTTTTCGTTCAAAGATAGGTGGTTGGATAGTTGGTATTCAAAATAAGGCTAAACGATTATTTTTTCATAGAATAATAGAATTTTAAAATAAATACTAGTGTATCATGATCAGTAATTCTTAGAATCTTGACATTGCTTTGGAAAAAAGATGTTTCAAAATTATATAGCATTTGTATAGATAATTGAAGAGCTATCTCTTTCACAATCGTTCTTTTTATCAGCTTTATCTTGCTTGCCCCCCCCCCCCCTTTCATGTATATTTTGTTTATAATACAATGGTTTTTTTTTCTTTTTTAGTTCTGAAGAGGACATCCAACCCACATTTACAGATTACTATATTAATAAAATTTAAAATAGGGTCATTAATTTTTTTGACAATTCTGTCCATTTTGTATATAAAAGAAGCTTTTAATATTTATTAGTTTTGAATAAACAAGCAATAGAAGATATTCAATGTTTTGTATCAAATAAAGATGTTATAAATTGCATTATAAAATATTATTGATTTTTAGTTATAAATTTTGTTTATAACTAATTTTAAAGAAATAACTAAATGTCTTCCAGAAAAAGTAAATTTTTCTTACACATTCTCCGAGTCATGAGAATCAGAAATCTTGTGCTTACACCCATTTTCTGTGGTTCTAAGTGGATAAGAGTCATGGACTTCCCTTAGATGGGACACAGATCCATCCATTGCCTTATATGCAATTTACATTTTAAAAAACCTTACTCTTCTGTATAGTATTGACTCAAGATTGAAAGCTGTTTTTGACAACCTGGTTCACATTTATACCTCCTATTTCCATAGCCAGAATAGACCGAATGGTAGAACTGCTGACTTTATAGATATTGACACCGCGGGTATTTTTTTAGAGTCATGGTTCGAATCCACCTGGTGTCTCACTTTTATTGTTAAAAATATACGCCTTCTCAGACACTTTTTATAAGGGCTTGTGTATTTTCCTACAATTATCTATCCTTTATACGTATATTCATTCTTGATATAGAAGACCCTAAAGTGAAAGCAAATCGTAAATTCCTTTGTAACTAAAACACGATCACTCAGCATAGCACACCCTTCTTCGAAGACAAGAATTATTCACTCTGTGTTTATACTCAATACAGGTATTCTCGCCTGTAATGAGTTGCGATGGATTTCTATTTTATATATCATGTGCGGATCTGGAGAGGGTTCGAGATAGGTTTCGGACCCCCTGAAATTTGTGGAGTTATTATGTGTACATGGTTTTTTGTTTGTTTGTTGTTTAACGTCCCTCTCGAGAATTTTTCACTCATATGGAGACGCCACCACTTGCCGGTGGAGGGCTGCAAATTTAGACCTATACTCGGCACTTAGTGCCATTGAGCAGTGAGGGATCTTTTTCGTGCCAGCACCTACTGCGACAAGGAACCTCGGTTTATACAGTTTCATCCGAAGGACCGATCTCCACGTCCCACATGGGATTCGAACCCGCGACGTAAGGATTAACTCCTTATACTCCGCGACCCGAGAGCAAACGCCCTAAACACGCGGGCGACTACGTGTACAAAGTAAAGTATGTTTACATAGTAAAGTAAATAAAAGAAAAATGACCTTGGCCTCCCCCCAACCCCCCCCCCACCCCCCCACGAAAACACGGATTCCTGTAAAGTTGATAAGAAACTGAAAGTAAACATTAAATGCTGTTTTTTTAATTGGGGTGTAACCCCCCCCCCCCTCGAAAAATATCCTGGATCCGCGCTATCCACCGTCAGGCACTTGAAGCGTGAACAACGTAATCTATGCATTCCCCCTTTACAAAATAATGTATAAATTACTGAGTGCATTTTCTGGGAAATGAGTGATTTCTCCATCATAGCAATCTTAATGTTATTCTGTGCAATTTCCAGTTTTATAATTTGGCCAATACGCGGGTGGGGTTGGTGGGGGATGCAGAGTTGTATAGTATCATGGTTAATCACGCTTTGTAGGTGCCTGTGCATCTAAAATTATGTTGTGTTCGCTCATACATGTATAAATATCGAATACTGGCTATTCATTTTGATCAAAGTGGTCTATTATAAAGTTACTTCACTCATATTTTACCAAAATGTTATATATATATATATATATATATATATATATATATATATATATATATATATATATATATATATATATATATATATATATATATATATATATATATATATATATATATATACCATGTGTACGGCATTACATTTTATGTTTCCTGTACCCTATGCTTTGCTTTTGTACAGGAATCTTCATTTGAGAATAAACATGAATAAATCAACTCGTTCTTGATAATCAACGTTTAATATGAACAACCTATATAATGAACATCGTTTTTGGTATAATTTATATATTTTCAAGAGATTTAAACTGGGAAATGTATCATATTTGCCGTTTTCCGTTCCGCGTTTTAGCAACACCCTCTTTAAACTGGAACTCCGCGCGTTTTTTAGCTCACCTCAACGAAGTTGGGGGAGCTTATGTAATACCCTTGGCGTCGCCGTCGGCGTCCCAGGTTAAGGTTTCTGGAGCAGTTTTCTTTTCAAGTACTTCTATGGCCTATATTAGTCAGAGATGCATGGAGGATGCTTCTAGTGTGTTTCATTGTACCAGTCAAGGTTTCAGATGCTGCAATTTCAGCTAAAGAATGACCAGATTAATGTTTTTGGAGCAGGTTAAAGTGTTTGGAGCAGGTTAAAATTTTTGGAGCAGGTCTCATTTCCAAGTAACTATAAGCCCTATATTGACCAAACTTGCATGGATGATACATCTAATGATGCACACTACTGAACTTGCTTCGGATGCTGGATCTGACCTAAATTTTCCGGATGAGTGACTAGGTTAAGGTTTTTGGAGTAGATCTCATTTCCAAGTAACTATAAGCCCTATATTGACCAAACTTGCATGGGTGATACATCTAAGGATGCACACTACTGGACTTGCTTCGGATGCTGGATCTGACCTATATTTTCCGGATGAGTGACCGGGTTAAAGTTTTTGGAGCAGATGTCATTTCCAAGTAACTAAAAGCCCTATATTGACCAAACTTGCATGGGTGATACATTTATGGATGCACACTACTGAACTTGCTTCGGATGCTGAATCTGACCTTTATTTTCCGGATGAGTGACCGGGTTAAAGTTTTTGGAGCAGATGACATTTCCAAGTATCTATAAACCCTATATTGACCAAACTTGCATGGATGATACATCTAAGGATGTACACTACTGGACTTGCTTCGGATGCTGGATCTGACCTATATTTTCTGGATGAGTAACCAGGTTAAAGTTTTTGGAGCAGGTCTCATTTCCAAGTAACTATAAGCCCTTTTAACTAAACTTGCATGGATGATACATCAAAGGATGCACACTACTGGACTTGCTTCGGATGCTGGATCTGACCTATATTTTCCGGATGAGTGACCGGGTTAAAGTTTTTGGAGCAGATGTCATTTCCAAGTAACTATAAACCCTATATTGACCAAACTTGCACGGATGATACATATAAGGATTCACACTACTGGACTTGCTTCGGATGCTGGATCTGACCTATATTTTCCGGATGAGTGACCGGGTTAAAGTTTTTGGAGCAGATCTCATTTCCAAGTAACTTTAAGACCTATCTGAACCAAACTTGCATGGATGATGCATCAAGGGACAAACAATCTCAAAACTTGCTTCGGATGCTGGATTTGACTTAAATCTTCTGGATGAGTGACTAGTTTTAAGTTTTCAGATAAGTCTATTCTCAAGTAACTGCAAGCCCTATCAGACCAAAATTGCATAAATGTTGCATCTAGGGATGCACTCTCCTAGATTATTAGTTTAGTGTGGGACTTTGCCTTACTTAAAGACAACATTCGTTGAGGTGAGCTCTGTAATCTCTGATTACCTATGTTTTCTCCTTAAGAGGACCAGTTTAGATGATGATTTAAAGAAGTTACCAAGTTCTGCATAACATGAAACGATTAAAGCATATAAAGAATTGACCACTTCATATAACGAATTAACAACGACAAATAATTATTAACCACATCATATAAAGATGTCACCACTGCATAGCATGGTTTTAAAATATATATAATAATTTTACTTTATAATATAATGATGTTAGTACTGCACATAATAAATTTTTCACTTCATGTAAAGATGTCGCACTGAATGAAATGAACTTGGCACTGCACATGCAGCGTGTTTCATCTATACTACTATATTAAAATAATAGACTCGAATTTTTGGCCTTTAATACCGATAAATCGGAAGAGTACTGTTTTGTTTTATATATTTTAAACATCATTGGTACTTGAAGATTACCAATTTGTTTTTATTTTTCTCAATTAAGCTTCGCTAATTAATAATCAACGAAAATTCCTAAAAAAATTCCGGAAGTCATCCGGATTTTTTGGATTTTACAATCTTGCGCGTGCGCATTACATTCACGCTAAATCAGGGTGTTCAAATCGTAGACTGATATTGCCTGCCTCTATTGTATATCGCGCATATCAGACAGGCAAGCCAGTCTATTCAGGAATCGGAGAAGACAAAAGTAATTTGTACTAAGTAGATATATATTTGTTATTTTATAATTTCTCTAATAAGAAATCATAAATATATATGAACAAAATATATAGCAAATTCGAGTCTATTATTTTAATATAGTAGTATAGATAAGAAATCATTAATATATAGCAAATTTCCAATGGAAATTTACACGTATTTGTATCATTGTTTCTGAGTTTATCTATGCAAATTTGATATTGTGGCCACGTGGGTAATCATTCGCCATCTCGGATACACATTGTAATTATGTTATTTATGTCTCTGGCCATCTCAACGCAAAAAGCTCATGATCGTAGAAGCAATATTAATGTAACTACCTGATTTTATTTTATCCTTCCTTTCTTTTATGCTTTTTTGAGGGGAAAGGGGGGGGTTACAAGTCCACCTAAAATCACATCTTGGTGAAGTGAGCATTCTTTTTCCGCCAAAAATTACAATTACATTATTTTCATTTCTTAACTTTGAAATAAATCGAAATAATTAAATAACGTCAATAAAACCAATATTCTCAATTTGAAATGTGTCTAAATGATTGCAACTTGAATTTGTTCGCCATGTTTACTATTACCTTCACTGCTGAGATTTATAATTTCACCTCCAAAATTTATTAAACTTTAAAAAAAGTGGATGAAATATGTAAATTATTGTTATTGATCTTCAGTACGTTATATGGAAGGGACAGCCTGTTCTAGGCTAGATATTTTCTAAATATGTAAAGGTTGTCATGG